CCCCCCCCCCCCCCCCCCCCCACAGTCCTTGAGCTTTCATGCTTCAGGGCCTCCCATCAGCTCTCACTGCTTTACCTACTGGCCCAGGATCCCACTGCACCCTTAGTCCCTTCCCAGGCTCTGTGTGCCCTGTGTGCCTGCACCACAATCCACAGCAGCAAGGACTCCATGGAAACCAACAGAACCTCGGCTCCCTGCTTGTCCCCGCCTGCTGCCTCACATGCTCTGAGAGTGAAAGGCTTTGCACAATCAGGCCTGGTGCTGACATGGGCTTGCTGTTTACTGAAGAAAGCTGCCTAGTCAGCTTCTGGAGGCTTGCCAGTGCCCAGGGGCCTGTCCACCCCTCTGGATAGAAGGTAAGGGCTCCTGAGGAATGTGACTCCCCGCTCAGCTGAGATTAACTAAGGTCAGGAACTATAATAGCCAAATATACAGCAGCAATCCTAGCCCAGAACCCCTTGTGTAGAGAAGGAGAAGTTGAGGCCAAGAGAAGGAGCAGGAACCTGTTCAGGGTCACAGGGTCACAAACTGCAACTCTTGGTCTTCATGGACCCCCTAACTCTTGGGTCAGAAATCGGGGCAGAAAGGTAAAAACCAAACCCTATATAGATGAGTCAGTCATCCCTGTTCCCATTGGAAAGACAGAGAAACCAAGACACAGAGAGAAGGCCCTTCCTCAAAGCAATATGCTGAGCCGGAGGGAAAGCCATCCTCACCACTTAGGCTTCTTGTTGCCAAACTAGGGCTGGTTCCAGATACATAGATAACTTACTCTTCTGGACTCAAGGGCCTCACCAGATGAAGTCCCAACTCTTCCGGGCTCCACCCACAGGACTCTCCCTTCTAGTTCCACCCTCCGGAAGAACCTGACTACCATAGGCTGGCCTCCTGGCCTTCCGGAACCAGCCAGGAAAATATGCCTCCACATTGTCATCAATCTTCTCCACCCATCTCTCTGGTAGGACCTGTCAGGCAGCCTATCCCAATTGCTCAAACTCCTTTCTTTCTTTCTTTTTTCTTTTATAATATATTTTATTGATTTTTTACAGAGAAGAAGTGAGAGGGATAGAGAGTTAGAAACATCGATGAGATCAATCAGCTGCCTCCTGCACGCCCCCTACTGGGGATGTGCCCGCAACCAAAGTACATGCCCTTGGCCGGAATCGAACCTGGGACCCTTCCGTCCGCAGGCTGATGCTCTATCCACTGAGCCAAACCGGTTCGGCTCAAACTCCTTTCTTCCTTTAGGGGCCCACGGTCTCTCAGGCGAGTAGGAAGTGGCTCTGGTGAGCCTCTCCAATCAAACAAATTCCTTGGATCATCCAAATGGATGAGTCTCTCAAGGCTCTGAGGAGGGAACACCTTCCCCTCCCAGACCAAATTCAGATTCTGTGCTTATAGCAGTAGTCCCTCCTAAAATCCCTTCCTGAAGCCAGTTGCTACAGATCCCTCAGGAACCATGGGGTCCCCAAACTGAACACCAGATTCTCAAGGAATGAAAAGTTATGAAAGTTACTGCTCAAAGCAGGGGGTGATAAGGAAGTTGTAAAAACAGGCTGTTCCACATCTTCAAGATATGCATGGCCTCCTTCTTAGCTGTGTGACCTTGGGCACGTCACCTAAGCATTCTGGGCCTATTTCCACAATTGTTCAACATGGGGATCATGTGTTTTAGATAAGACCATTCCAACTTGGACATTCAACTCCTCCAGAACAGGAAGCTCACTACCTGAAGGTCAGCTGTTCAGCCCCAGTTAGCTCTAACTTCCTTGTAGGTATTACTTAGTTGAAAACAGCTTTCGTAGGAGTACCCCTACCTCATCTCAAGGGTCTCTAAACATCTCAGCTTCCAGTCCTAATCCACAGTTACTAGATGCCTTCTGAACCTAGGCACTACATATAGTTTCTTTTAATCCTCACTATAATTCTATGAGGTAGGCACTATGGCCAATATTTATTTCCATTTTACAGAAGAGGAAAGGCTCAGGGAGGCTAAAACATTTGCTCAAGAGCACATGCTAATAAATGTCAGCTGAGATTTGAAACTAATATATTGGATTCCAAGCCCTCCCCCTATCCAACACTTGCTTGTTTTGTGTATTTTTTTGTGTGTGTGTGAATCCTCACTTGAGGATATTTTTTCCACTGATTCTTAAAAAGAAAAAAAAAATCAATGAGAGGTTGCCTCCTGCATGGGGGCCAGGGATAGAACCTGCAACTGTGGTAGTGCCCTTGCCCTTGACCAGCCCCCCGGAATCTAACCCAGGCCTTTCAGTCCGCGGGCCCATGCTCTAACCACTGAGCAACCGGCTAGATCGCAACACAAGCATTTCCAGGCACCTATGGAGGAATGCGGAGTTAAGAAGGGAGAGCTCAGCCTCTGCACACCCAGCCCCAGATGGGGGAAAGGGGTCAGTTCAGCAAGGTACGACAGCAGCAGTTCCTAGGTAGGGACCAGGACTCCGAGTTAGGGACGGGCCCTGCGGAGGCTGGACCACGTGGCCCAGCTCCCCCAACTGGGGCTGCCCAGCGGTCCAGCACACCCATTCCCATACTCACCAAGGCTGCGGTTGCGAGCAGACCGCGCTAGCGCAGGCCAGGAGCCGAGGGTCTGGGGACCCGGAGGGTAGCCCAGGCCCGGCTGGGAGGCGGGTTCTTAGTAATTTCTTCCTCAGTACTTCAACTGTCCTTTCGTTCTTCGGCGGGGGCGGGGACGGCGCGCTTGGGGCGGAACTTGGGAAGGAAACTGCGCCCAGATCTGCTGCTGGCTCCTCCCCGCTTCTGCAGACCCAGGTCCTGGGCTCTTCTCCTTAATCCGGTGTCCCCTCAAGCCAAGCCTCTCTAGCCCTCATCTGTTCCACTAATTCCGGATGCGTGGGGACAACCGGAAGAGCCCTGTACAACGGGTTTGACCCGTTGGATAAGCCGCCTCATTACCTTACCTCTCCGCTGCGTTCCATCACCTGTTGAAAGAACAGAAGATTAATTAAGCAAAGCCCCGAATTCTCTCATTTCTTGACCCCAGTCTCTCCTTCTCAGCCGAATTATCTAGCCTCACCCCTCTAAAACATTAAACCAGTTTTGTCCCATCCTTGGCCCCAAACTTTGTTACCCAGAGCCGATTTGGGGAATTTCAGCAAAGAGAAGGGCACCTGACAAGTAATGAAATCCAGTGAGGCCCTCCCCAGAGACTCTGGGTCAGAGCTATTCCCGCCTTTGATCAGGAGAGGGCGCCCTGCCCTGTCAGACAGAGCCCAGAGGCTCTCCAGCCCCAGACCTGGTTTCTCCCCACGATGAAAGGGCTGATCACCAGATACCGGCCAGCCCCAAGCGTTCCCTCCCCACGCTGACTGACCCATAAAGAAACTTGAGGGAGCCTCTTGGCTCCCTTTGCAAATATCATCCTACCCTAGTAGGGAAAAGGATGAAGGGACCAGTAATCCTTCCTGTAAGTGCAATGCCTGTTTTGTCAGAACACGGACAGGGGTTGGAGAACCTCTAAGCTACACACCACCATCACATTTTCCCCCACTCATTAATTTTTAAAAATTGATTTTAGAAAGAGAGATACATCCAGTTTTGTTGTTCCACTTATTTATACATTCATTGATTGCTTCTTCTTGTATGTGTGTGCCCTGACTGGTTTTAACCCACGACATTGATGTATCTGGATGACACCCTAACCAACTGAGCAATCGGCCAGGGCCCCATTTCCCCCCATTTAATCCCCACAGTAATAATTAGCACACTTTGAGTCCCCTGTGTCCCAGGCACTTTTCTGCTTTTTATGTTATCATATTTAATCCTCATTAAAAACTCTATGAGATAGATACTATTAATATACTCATTCTATCCATGGAAAACAGAAGGTAAAGTTACCTACTCACACAGCTAGTAAATGTCTGAGCCAGGATTTTAGACTGGCACATGAGATCCTTTAATTACTATATCCTACAAGGTAGCAAGATCACTTTGCATCACTTTTCAGCCTTTTGGCTAAGATCAAGTATAGTATCTGTTCTTATCAGTTTACTATCTGACATGTCCTCTACTCAAGGACAATATATTACATGGGTTTTTGGAGCAGGAAAATGGAATAGGAGCTTGCTCCATCCATCTTGGTGCATCGGTCCGGTATTGCAGTAAAAAGAAAAAAAGTCACCACTTTGCAAATGGGGAAACAGAGCCCCCAATTTTTATTAACTTGTCAGAGCTTATTTCATGCACTCACTCTTGTTCATTCACTCAGCCTAGGCCTGCTCTGTGGCAAGCCCTGGGTTGGCCAATGGTGGGGAACCCAGAGATATCTCGGCCCCACTCCTGGAGGAAAGATGTCTTTTTCTCAAAACTACTTTTCTTGACTTTGAATTCTTCCCACCTTCTCCTTTAAGGTCCCAGGGCGAGTGAACGATTAATAAAAGTTTACTAAAAGACCACTTCCATTTAGTTTCAAAAACTGGATTTAGGTTTTCTACCTTTGGGCTTCGGGTCATCCTCTTTGTTTAGCTCCAACCTACAGATGCCTGCTTCTGGCCCTTGTTCCCTGTCTTGAGCTCTTTCCTGGTCCCACATCTTTATTCTCCCTGTTCATCTGGCTTGGAATGCTTCTTTTCCTCCATCTCAGCAAACTCTACTCTTCCTGTAAAGGTAGTGATTAGCATGACACTTTGGTAATTTAGAAATTCATGTGGTAATTTCTAGGAGACTGATAAAATAATAGAAAAAGATAATTTTATTTCTAAATTGGCACAGGAGAAAAAACAAAATAATCCGGAAGAATGCAGGAAAGGAGATTTTAATGGCCAACAAACACATAAAATGATAGTCATCATCATTAGTTATTAGGGAAATGTACATGAAAAGGACCATGAGATGATATTTCACACCCCCAAGGATAGTGATAATTTTTAAAAAAATTTTTTTTATTGAATTCAGAAATGGAGAGGAAGAGAGAGATAGAAACAACAATGATGAGAGAGAATCATCGATTGGCTGCCTCCTGTATGCCCCCCATCGGGGATTGAGCCCCGCAACCCAGGCATGTGCCCTTGACCAGAATCGAACCCAGGACCCTTCAGTCCACAGGCCAACGCTCTATCCACTGAGCCAAACTGGCTAGGGCTATAATTTTTTTTTAAAAAAGTGTTGGAAATGATGTGGAAAAATTGGAACCCTCATATAATGCTGGTGGGAAGGTAAAATGGTATAGTCACTTTGTAAAACAGTTTGACAGTTCCTCAAAATGTTAAACATAGTTACCATATGACCCTACAATTTACTCCAAGGTATAAAAGTATAAATACAAAAGAATTGAAAACATATGTCCATAAATGACTTGTACATGAATGTTCATAGCAGTATCATTCTTAGTAGCTACAAAATGGAAACAACTCAAAAGTCATTCAACTCATGAATGTATAAACAAAATATATCTATAAAATGGAATATTATTTGATCCTGAAAAGAAATGAAACACTGATCCATGCTACAACACATATTAACCTTAAACACATTTTGCTAGCCGAAACCGGTTTGGCTCAGTGGATGGAGCGTCGGCCTGTGGACTGAAAGGTCCCAGGTTCGATTCCGGTCAGGGGCATGTACCTTGGTTGCGGGCATATCCCCAGTAGGAGATGTGCAGGAGGCAGCTGATCGATGTTTCTCTCTCATCGATGTTTCTAACTCTCTATTTCTCTCCCTTCCTCTCTGTAAAAAATTAATAAAATATATTTTTAAAAAAAACACACATTTTGCTAGTAAAAGAAGTCAGACACAAAGGCCATATTTTATAACTCCATTTATATGAAATGTCCAGAACAGGCAAATTCATTGAAACAAAGTAGATTAGTAGTTGCCAGGGGCTGGGGGAGGGAGAGATGGAGAATGACTGCTGCCCTAGGTCGTGTTCAGTGGATAAGAGCAGTTGGCCTGCAGACCCAAGGGTCCAAGGTTGGATTCTGGTCAAGGACATGTAGCTCGGTTCAGGCTCCTCCTCAGCCCAGGCCCTGCTTGGGGAGTGTGCAAAAGGCAACCAATGGATGTGTTTCTCTCACATCAATATTTCTCTCTGTCTTTCCCTCTCTCTCTAAAAATCAATGGAAAAATATCCTCTGGTGAGAATTAAAGAGAGAATGACTGCGAATTGATCTGGTTTTTAGAGAGGAAGGGAGAGAGAAATATTGATTTGTTGTTCCACTTATTTATGCATTCATTGATTGAATGCAATTCGCTTGACCGGAATCGAACCCGGGACCCTTCAGTCCGCAGGCCGACGCTCTATCCACTGAGCCAAACCGGTTTCAGCCATTGATTGATTTTTGTATGCACCCTGATCAGGGACAGAACCGAAAACTCTAGCATATTTGGACAATGCTCTAACCAACTGAGCTACCAGGCCAGAGCATGGGTTTCTAGTTGGGGTTATGAGAATGTTCTGGAATTAGATAGTGGTGATGGTTGCACAACCTTATGAATATACCAAAAACCTCTGGATTGTAGTACACTTTAAATGGGTAAGTTTGAATCATATATGAATTACATAATTTCTTGTGTGAATTATATCTCAATTTTTAAAAAGATCTGGCAAAGAGCTGGGCCTCAATAAATGGCAGTTATTACTACAAAAAAAATAAAAGAATACTAGTAAAGGAGAGACAGAAACAGAACAGGAAGGATAAGTAGAAAGTATAAACTATTAGATAAAATTACTGAATTTACCAATAAATTAACTGCAAAGAACTAAATGCTCCAGTTAAAAACCTAATTATATGCTATTTACAAGCATCACCCTTCACTATCAAGTTATAGGAAAAGAGGAAGGAAATAAACATTTACTTAGTGCTTCTAAGAGCCAAACATGTGCCCAGTCCAGTCCTTTGCAAGTTCCATTGTTTTACTTTTGGGCACAGCCCATTTCAAATCAATTTTGCATTGATGCCCCAGGAAGAGATGGTGGTGGAGTGGTAATCCTAAGAGGCTTTCTGAGCAACCCCTATTCTGTTTGGGGCTCTCAGTCATGAGATCTAGTTTGTAGAACATGTACAACCCTCCCTTTGTAATGTCAGGCTTCTGCTCCCAGCTAGGCCTGGGGGAAGGAATACCAATTTTAAAGAGAAAAAAAGCATAGGCCCAAAATGGCATCACTCAGCCTAAAGCCTATACCAAACCTAGATTTAATACCTGATCTACTTGTACATTCAACCTCTCCCGGAAACATAATCTTAATCAACCAGTATGAAACTTTCTGGTCAAGCACTAGTAAGGAAATCTGTCACATAGGCCCTGTCCATCCTCTATAGAAAGAAACAGTTACATAATAAAAAAACCTTCCTCTTCTCCTCCCCCAAAGAAAAGATGTCTTTTGCTAATAGCTTCCTTTACTCGCCCTTTTTCCTATAAAATCCTTCCATTTTGTACAACCCCTCAGAGAGCCCTTCCAGTTGCTAGAGGGATGCTGCCCAATTCATGAATCGCTTTATAAAGTCACTTAGATTTTCAGATTTACTCAGTTGAATTTTGTTTTTTAACACCAAGATGAAGAAAACGCAGCTCTGCCCTCCAAAAGCCCAGGCACATAGGACAGGGATGTAATAGGATACAATGTGGCAGAGGCCTGCCCTAACGTTAACCCAACTTTCTGACAGATCAGCAAATGTATCCCAGAGAAGGCGGGAACATTTGAACCAGACCTTTAGGAATAACTGGGGGTTCCTAAAGGACAAATGGAAAAGAAGTCCTATTCTGAGCCAGTCCCTAGGGCATCTCTGAGCTCATGTCTATTCTAGGGATTCAGAGAGGCAAAGAAAGGTTGTCCTGGGGCTGCCCGGGGTCAGGAGACCAGGAGGCCAGATTTTGAGGCCTCCCAGCAGCTGCAGACAAGCTACACGGACAGTCAGACCTCCCCGGGGGGTCCTCTAGCTCCGCACGTGGTTGGGCCAAGAAGCGAGGGGCGGTACCAAGGGGAAGCCTTCCCTTCACCGCCCACGGACTGGGGTAAGGTGAGGGTAGAAGAGTTACCATACCATCCAGTAGCCTTCCCTCTGATTGGCCCGAGCTTCAGCAGCCGGGTCTTTCCGCTCTCAGGAAGTGGGCGGAGCCTCTGTATGACGTCACCATTCTTCTCCCACACCCCGTCCAATGTAGCCACTCACCAGCCCACTTCGAGGGGCCCTGTGTGACATCACGGCTCCCTTCCAGCCAACCGCGGCGGCGAGAGGCGGGACTCCAAGTCCCGCCCACCATCCCTTCCCTTTCCTCCCCCTCATCCCCTAAGTCCCTCCTCTTCCTCCTCGCCCCTTCTCCCGAAGACCGCCCCCACGTTCAGTTTCAAAAGCCTGGTTGCCCAATGAGTCATAGGGTGGGCCTCGAGTGGCGTCGGCGGCTGCCAATGCGCAGGCAGCGAGGACGGAGCGCCCGGAGCG